TCTTATTTTGAATTATTTTATTTTATTATTATATTATTTATTTTATTTTATTTCAATAACATTATTATTTTATTTGCTAATAAGTATAAATTTATAAATATAAATATAAATAAGTATAAGTATAAATTTATTTAAAAGTTATTAAAGTATTTATATAAAAGTGTAATGTTGAAATGTTTATTTGCTTGTGTTTCTTCCGTTTCTGTTTTCCTTTCTTTCGCATACTTAGTCAGCGCAGATTGGCTACGCCATTCTGTATCCAGTCAATCAAAAATTGGCCTATCGTGGCCAGTTTCTAATTTCTAGTGTCTTCAGTTCCGTTGAATGCATCCACCCAGGGAATTCACTACGATTTTATAGTGCTTTTTTTTCTTTTGTCGATCAACAATTAACGTAGTAGGTTGCGTTCCGATATTCACTGCCAGTACTGAAAATATATAATTCAAGTCACGTATATTATAGATTTTCAGTACTGACAATGGATTTTGGAACGCAGCCGTAGTCGAAGTGTCGAGTTAGGCATTTCCGTCATATGTACACGCTCTCTTTAGTAAAATGGCTCCGAAACCGAAACCTACGGAGAAAGCAGGTAAATTTGAAACCAATTTGCTATGTTTATCACTTTTTTTTATATATGGTTTTTGAGATAAACCACAAATATTGATCAATGCGTGCACTGTGTATGATCGTTGCGATAATGCAATTGCCTATTTGAGGATAAGGAAATTGCGGACCACATGGTCGGACAAGTCTCATGCTATGTATCAATGATCTGTTCAAAAAAATGTTTCGTATAATTTTATGATTCGATTTTCTGCAGCTTGCATTTGCCACATAATCAATTACAATTTCGTATTTGTGTACATCATAATCAATAATGGGAAAGAGTAGATTTTTGTGTTGTATAATTTAAACATTATTGGATACATTTATCTATCTTATCTTTCAATAGAATCTTAAAAACCGAAAAAGATTAGAAAGGTAAAAAATGAAAATATAAATTGTGAACAATACTATTTTTTAGAACAACATGAAGATATACTTTACTGCTTGGGTTTTCTAATGTGCTTATTTATTAATATAATTATTTTGTAAATTAATATTATTATTTTGTAAACATAAACAATAGGCAAGCCTGTGGAGAAGAAAATGGAAAAGAAAGCTGAGAAAAAGCCAGCTGCAGCGTCTACTTCCAAAGTCACAAAGCCTGCAGCAAAGCCTATAGCTGCAAAGAAACCAGCAGCTGCCAAACCAGCGACTGCTGCTAAATCAACAGCAAAGCCAGCATCTAAACCTGTGCTTAAACTTGCCAGTAAACCATTGATCAGCAAGCCCAAAAAAATGTACAGGCTATCAAGAAAATACCAAAGGGTGGGAAATCAACAATTCCACTTCAGAAAGCTCTTAAGGCACAGAAAAAGGTATAATAAAAATTTAACTTTGAAATTATCTATCTGGTTAATCTTTTGAGCAATATACTTTCAATGATGATTTTAAGTGTGGGAATCTCTTTGAATTTTCATGAAAACATTTTTTAATACAATACTGAATGATCAATGGCTACATATTGCATATAAATGTTGGATATTATAAATGCTAATTACATTTTTAATTTTACAGATTTTGAAAGGAGTTCATGGATCCAGAGTACGGAAGATCAGAACATCTGTTCACTTTCATAGACCGAAAACTTTCAGGCCACCAAGGAATCCTAAATATCCACGTAAATCTGTTCCAAACAGAAATCGGTAAGGGCTCGAACGAGTTTCCTGATATATTTATAAAAATAAATATATTAGCATATATTTTTTTTTTTAAATATATTTATATTTTATCTTTGCTAACTTATTTCAGCATGGACGCGTTTAACATCATAAAATTCCCGTTGACGACGGAAGCGGCGATGAAGAAGATCGAGGATAACAATACTTTGGTTTTCATCGTGCACACTCGCGCCAATAAATATCATATTAAGGCATCAATCAAGAAGCTTTATGATGTCGATGTAGCAAAGGTGAATACTTTGATTAGGCCGGATGGTAAAAAGAAGGCGTACGTGCGTCTGACGCGCGATTATGATGCGCTCGATGTCGCCAACAAAATTGGTATCATATAATTCTTTATATTATCTTTTTTGTTTAAAAATAAAAATTTTGTCTGATAATAAAAAAAAGATTAATATGGACAAATCGAACTTCGTTATTTCACAATCCTTACTGCAAATAATAAAGATAGAAAATTTTGTTAACACATGCACAAAATTTATAAAGTGACACACGATACAATCACAGTCATCTCCAGAAAATTGATTTGTTAAAGATTAGATTTATTGATATATTCAGAATATTTCAAATTCTAATTTTTATTATATTACTTTGTAAAAAAAATCAGACAAAAAATAATCATTTTTACCGGAAATCCTTTTGATAATTGAAGAAAATATAAATTACGCATTATATATAAGTATAAATTTCTCTCTAAAAAGAAAAGATCATTAATATTTGAATTAGAAAACTGGAGAAAGTAGGGAGAAATAGAGATATTCAATTAATAACTATTAATTGAACAATTAATAAAGATCGGTAAAGCATGGTCCACAATGAGCAATCGTAAGAAAATGATCAATCACAGTTGAGTGTGAGACAAATAAATCAACTGTAATCAAACTGTTTCTGATCAATTTCTTATGGCTTACGATTCATTCACTACTGCTACTGTCCATTATAGATCACACTTAAGTATGCTATTACTATTACTATTACTATTGCTACTACTACATTACTTTTTTATGGTCATGACTTTCTTCCCATGCCAATATAGGCTATGACTATTTTTGTTTCATACATATATATCATGTCAATTAATCATTTTTCCACTGAATTAGTGAATTTCCTATAAAATCCATATATTACAGAAGTAATCTATAAATGAATATCTTGACATAAGGGATCTTAATTTTTACAATTATATCATCAGTCATATATAACATATATAATACATTATATCATCAGATATATATAACGTATATAATAGATTTAATACAATAAAATGATAAATATGATAAAAATTATAACATAATGAAAATTATGAACTTTATTAATTGGAAATGTAGAAAAAAGATTGAATGAGTAAACTGAATGATTAAATAAATATTTTATTAGAACTTAATAAGTGACGATATGTCAATAGGTTCATTGCCTCTCATCATATTCTATCAATGTCGACGACATTATCTTAGCTTTCAGATTAGATCATTAATATTTTAAATACTTGTAAAGCTATGAGTTTGCAATTTGCAGTAGAATATGAGAATAACTGTAATTTGAATTTTTTGAATCTTTTACTGAGAAGATTAATGGTAGAATTATTGATCGATTTTACAAAATATATCTTTTCTGGCACATATCTTTTATGTTTCTCAAATCATCCATTATGTCAAATAAGATTGAAATGATTTGTGTCTGGTTGACAAAGCAATTCTTTCATTTCTTTTGATTTTATCTCGAATTTCAGTGAAAGAACCTTAAATTTTGCATTGGGATATTTTTTGACAATAGTTATATTCTTTAAAGCTCCTGAACATTAAAATATATTAACTGGAAAGAGCCGGAGTTGCCAGATTCAGCAAATTTACAGTCACACAAGCGCCCGCGGGCGCCCGTGCCCAATTTTGTTTTGCCGAGCTATGTCTTAAGTCAGAGGTCGGCAAGTCGGCAAGTGGGTGTCCAATGCCCGTGGGCAACAGTCGAGCGCGCTGGCTGATCGACGGCTAGGCGCAATAAAGTGAGGAGAAAGGATAGCAGGAACGTCTGTTCATTGAACGTGCTAGGAGTAAAAAAATATTGTGTTGCACAAATTCAGATCAGAATTAGCATAAATTAATAACTATCTATATTTTAAATAAACAATTGTAAAAATTAGATGACCATAAGCGATCATGAAAGAGATTCGGAATATAAAGAACTAACAGAGAGGAGCCGTCGTGGTCATGCAGACTAAGTGTCAGATTAATAAACGAGGGAGTATCCCGAGTTCAAATCCAGTCGGTCTCCGTTTATTTTTCCGAATCTAATAAATATCTTTCACAATTCTTACAATAATATTAAATAAACAACTCTTATAACATTTAATTAGTATTTGATTCATAATTTTCCGATATATATACGATATATCAAGTGTTATCGTTTTGAAAACTTAAACGAATTATTGCAAAATTCAAATGTGAATCTGTTAACTATTTGCGTAATCGCGATTTATTTAATTTTATAATAGAAAATAATTGTTCACATAAATATGTAGAACCTACATACTCATTAATTTTTGCAGCACAAGTATGTAGTCGAGAAAAACGTTCTTGAGATATATATGAATAAAATTGTACGATGTCAATTATTGTATAAAAACGATTTTTAAGAGCAGTGTCACATTTTAAATCTATTAATTCTAATTATATGTCTGCAGGAATAATATTAATATCAACAGTAAAAGATGTCATAAAAATAAGTAAGTCTTCTTCTAAAACATGCATTTCCCTAAACCGACAATCGAATTCATTATGTAATAATTGAAGTGAATTTATATATTCTTCATTTCTATTGCTTATCTTGAATGTGCAGGGTAACAGATAATAAATTTGAAAAATGCAACAACTATCGAGATTGAAATTGATTAATCCATAAATTAAGTTTCATTTGAAACTTTATCCCAAGGTATTAAAAATATTAGATACGCTCCTAAGATGTGCAGGGGGGGCACTCGCGGGCGCCCGTACCCAATTTCAGTATTTTGCCGACCCCTGTCTTAAGTGATAGCTAAAGCGTACACGATTCTTCGTGTTACGCCTGCTCTTCGCTCATACACACACACACACACACACACACACACACACACGCGCACATATATATATATATATATATTACTATTTAATTTTAATAA